AAAATAGAGAGTTCTAACTATATAATTTTTGGTACCCAGGTTTTTATATAGGTACTAAAGAGTTTTTATAGAATATAAACTTCTTGAGTGATCTAAAAAGCAAAATGAATACTTGGTATCCAGGGTACCGAAAAAGTGACCCCAGAACTCCCTTTTATGTTCTACTTCTGGGATCACAAGGGATTTCTAAACTATGTAACTTTAAGACTATTTATATTAGAATTAATTTAAAAGTTTATTATTAACATGTCCATGATCCTGCTACTAGCTATTTTAATATATAAATTGATTCTAAAGTATTCTTTCCTATGTTGTAAATTGATTTCTATATTTGGTAATATCTGAGACTACATTATATAATTATAACATAATTGCTTCATATCAAATATATAATATCTGATATTTAAAATAAAAAAATTTTATTTATAAAATTTCTACTCTATTATATAAAGTTTTTTTTTTTTGTCTAATATCTAGATGAATAGCCCTTCACACTAGCTACTTCTTTGATCCTTCACTGTACTAACTCTACAAGAGCCTGAAGAACTAACATATTCAAGTTTGACCATGCCTCTTTAATCACTATTTTGAGTTCATCCATATCTCTTGAAAAGTTCTTCTGATTTAGATTATCTTTTACAACCTTTCAGAGGTTCTCAATCAGGTTTAGGTTGGAGGATCGTGCTGGCCAAGTCATATAATTGATTTTTTTTAAATTAAGCAACTTTGTTACCTAATGTATAGGAGCATTGTCATGCTGAAATATTAGATTTGGCTAGTATTTCTATGAACCTGTTCATAAACATGTTCAAAGATTCAAATAAAGAAAAAAGTAAATAATTGCAAAGATAAAAATACCTATATCTCATAATCTACTAGGCTAATTTTAACATTTTAATCACCATTCTGTTCCCAAGACACTCCTCTACAACTTTACTTAAGTGTTAAAAAGAGGTTTATTTAGTAAAGAAAAAAATTTTTTCTTTGAGAAACTCCAAAATTGAAAAGTTTCTATTATAATAAAAGGTTTGAATTTTAACTAAAACATTTTTCTTTACTAAGTAAACCTTTTTCCAACTTCTAACAAAAGTTGTAGAGGAGTATCTTGCGATCAAAATGGTGGTTAAAAGTTAAAATTGGCCCAGTAGATCGCGAGATATAAGTATTTTTATCTTGCAATTATATGCTTTCTTCTTTATTTTTAAAGAAAAAAATTTTTTTTTTATATAAATAAAGAAGAAAGCAAAGATAAAAATACTTATATCTCATGCCAATTTTAATGTTTTAACCACCATTTTAATCACAAAATACTTCTCTACAACTTTTATTAGAAGTTGGGAAAAGGTTTACTTAGTAAAGAAAAATGGTTTAGTTAAAATTCAAAACTTTTATTATAATAGAAACTTTTTAACTTTGGAGTTTCTCAAAGAAAAAATTTTTTCTTTACTAAGTAAACCTCTTTTCAACACTTAAGTAAAGTTGTAGAGAAGTGTCTTGGGAACAGAATAGTGATTAAAATATTAAAATTGGCCTAGTAGATCATGAGATATAAGTATTTTTATTTTTGCAATTATTTACTTTTTTCTTTATTTGAACCTTTGAACATGTTCATGAACAGGTTCATAGGAACACTAGATTCGACCCAACCAACGAATATGCAGCAGCAATAAACAGCATGAGATTGTTCTCGAGAACCTTAGTGTAAATTATTTAGTTAATTTTTTGTTTGGGACCTTTATAATTAGAAAAAAAACTATAAGACCTTTGATTTTATCCACAAAGCACGACTAGACCATTACCGACACCCTATTACTTCTAAAATTTAGTACTAAACACTTATGTTTATACTGTTCATCCATATACTGCCACACTCAAACCTGACAGGATTGTTTATCCACTTCAATACTTATTTCATCTTAAAAAATAACATACTACTACTTGTATAAGTTCTTGTATAAATTTTTTTACACCAATTTTTCTGTCTGTTTATGTTGCTCTTAGTTAAAAAAGGTTTCATTACAGCAATATGAAAATATATTTCAAAGCTGTGCAAAGCTCTGGCTACAGTTTTCTAGCTACATTGTAGGTTTAAATCCTTGACAATATTACACAGAGGCTTGTGTCTCTTTTTCAACATTTTTTTAGTATAGCTTTCTTTTCTTCTTTTTTTAGGACAAAGGAACATCTAAAGCAAGGTAAGTTCTTGATATTTTTTGTCTCCTTGTGCTTTTTTAGAAACTTTCGAACTGTCATTGAGTCATGCCAATTTTGAGAGCAACTTGCTCTGCACTCATATCTTCAATAAAAGTAAGTATTTTGTCTTTTTCTGTATTTGTTATCTGAGTGCATAGCATATTATAAAAAAGTTTTTTTTTTTTTTTGGCTTTGTAGTTTTGATATTAAAGAAGCAAAAAAACAAAAAAAAATTGCCCAAAATCAATAATTTTGGGGCAAATCAGGCTTCTATATTTACCTATATGTGTTAATCTGCAGATTGGGTATTACTTTTGCTGCCTACTGTATATACATATGTATATACATGCATAAATATAACTGTATGAAAATAATAGCCATGAGGTATTTGATTTTGAGATGGTTTACTGATGGAAAAGTCTCCAAACATATACTATTCACATAATTTTGCATCTACTGATTACCAGTATAAACATATTGATGGAATAAACAATAAAGATTCTATTAATAAATTCAAAAGTTTTTTAAACCTTCTAGCAATGATTTCTCAATAACTACATGATTAAATTCAGAAAAAAATATTTTATTATATTTCTACAATAGCAAATTAAATAAAAAAAAGAATTATTTAATTTGGTTTAGTTGTTTTTAAGAAATCATTGTAGAAAGATAAAAAAAAACCCAATATTAATAATAAATCAGTCTGTCTTTAAACTTTAAATGACTATTTCTCAACAACTAACTATCATATTTGAAGAATTTTTTTATTTTGATTCTTTGGGTTTATAAAAAAATTCCGATCAAATCTGAATAGCTGTTTGTTAAGAAATATTTATTAAATAAAAAAAATTTAGCTGCAGCTTTTTTTAAAGATACCAAGCTTTGAATGAAGATTATTTGGCACCTACTTGGTCAAATTTGATCAATTTTTTTTCATTATAATTCTATGAGTCAATATAATTAAAATAAAAAAAATTGACCAAATTTGACCAAGTAAGTGCCAAGTAATCTTTATTTAAAGTTTTAATATCTTTAAAAAAAGCTGTAGCTAAATTTTTCTTTAATTTAATAAATATTTCTTAACAAACAGCTATTTAGATTTGATTAGAATTTTTTTATTTTAATTCTATGAACTCAAAGAATTAAAATAAAAAAAAATTCTTCAAATTTGTTAGTTTGTTGTCAAGAAATTGTTATTTAAAGTTCAAAGATAGAAAATTTTTTTATCTTTCTGTAATAATTTCTTAACAACAACTAAACCAAATTAAATTCTTTTTTTATTTAATTTTTCTATATTATAGAATTATAATAAATTTTTTTTCGAATTTAACCATGTGGTTATTAAAAAATTATTGCTAAAAGTTTTAAAAACTTTTGAATTTATTAATAGGAACTTCATTGTTTATTCCATCAATATGTCTATATATTCATATTGGTAATCAGTAGATGCAAAATCACATAAACAGTAGTATTCGAAGACTTTCCCTTTACTAACACAGCATTTACATGATTTTATTTTTTTTATCAGCACAGTGTTACAGGTTAATTAATAACTTTTGTCAAAGAAAAACCTAACTCTGATAGTAGGCACTAATAATTAGATACCAAGTAAACAAACTCAACAAGACAAGTGTTTACTTTATTACTCAAATAAACTTTATTTATTAAAGGTTTAATTTATTAATTACAAGAGTGAAACTATCTAAACTAACTAACTAACTAAGCTATATACATACTTTGGGTTACATTACTTATATCATAAACAATCATATAATCATTTGACTCTTATATTACTTCATATTTTATGCATACTACTTTGATTGTATAATTGATCCCTTAATTCCCAATTGATCATATGCATCACGTGCACAAGTCGTTGATTGATTAATTGCTTATTCTCTTATATTTATACCTGTTTATCATATATTGCATTTCACCATAATACAAGCTAGAGCCCCAGGAACTTTGTCCCTGAAGTTTTCAACTTCTTTTGTATACTTTTTATAAAAACATCATACACATCACTACACCTACTTTTACCATTACTTTTCATCAGTAATTCTTTTCCTCGATCAAATACACTTCTTATTATTCGACCACCACTCCCAATGTCAAGTCATATATTCGAATTGTTATTTACAGCGAGCTCCTGGTACTATCCAACAATTCTATATCAAGATCTCTAAAGTTTGTATACCAATGCTATTTGGACAAATCCATACCACAATCAAATTCATCAGATTCTTTATCACTCAACACCTCCAACAAATATTCCACTATCTCTTCTCTTTCTAGAACTACAACTGACGGTGCACCTAGCATATTAATTGCTCTATTCTGGCAACAATTTACAACTTCATTTACTCTTTTAATTCTAGTATCATTTACTTTTCCACTATTATTATTCATTACTAACTCCTCTGCAGCATATTCAAAGTTAATCAAATCTTCTTTAATAAATGCATCAAATATGTTTTCAGGTTCCCTTTTGTTTATCTGATCAGATTCATCAAATTCTATTAGATCGTTGACTTTTATTTCTTTGATAAATTTCATTTTATTACTATTTATCTCATTTTCTTAACAACAGATGAATTTCTTGTGTTTATCCTTTTCATCATAGAATTCATCACATGTTTCTTCAATATTTTCCATTTTATTTCTAATGATTTCAGCTCTACTATCAGGAGCTTTATTTCCATTATTATTATTTTTGACTCCAACTTTATTCTGGCCACAATGCCCAATACTAACTACTTTTTCAGCATCCAATTCGTCAAGACTATCTAATCATATTACCATCCACTTCCTGAATTATTTTATCCTTTACTTCATCGTTCTTTACTGATTTCTTTGCAGCACATCTAAAGTCAATCAAGTCATTTCTTTCACTTCTTCGATCCAGTTCATAAAAATTAATCAAATTAATCTCTTTATCTACTCTCATTTTATCACCAGTTATTTCTTTCTGATCCAATAACTACACCAAATATCTGCAAATTTACCATCACCGTTCTTCATATCTGACAACAACTGGTCAACTTCAGCTTCCAAGTTATCCAATTCTCGATCATCCACCTCACCAATCGATTCATTACTTACAATATCATTTTCTTCAGCATTTTCCTTCTCTAATTCAACTTGATTAGAATCACTACTCTCAATATTATTCCAAAATATATTGATTAAACTTATACTACGATTTGGTGCATCAGGCTTCAGATCTTCTTTGAATGCTTTGCTTTTATTGTTACTGACATTTTTGCTAATCACATCTCCACCTCTTCTAGCTATCTCTTTATCTTTGTTACTATCCACACTTTGTTGCATCAACCCTTTATATTCACCTACATTTTTAACACACATATCTTCCTCTTCCTCCATGTTCATGTAAATCAATATTAGGTTCATCCTGTGGGCCGTTGATACCAATTCGTTACAAGATAGCTGGTAATTTGCCCAAGTTCTTGTGTTACAGGTTAATCAATGACTTTCATCAAAGAAAAACCTAACTCTAATAGTAGGCACTAATAATTAGATACCAAGTAAACAAACTCAACAAGACAAGTATTTACTTTATTACTCAAATAAACTTTATTTATTAAAGGTTTAATTTATTAATTACAAGAGCAAAACTATCTAAACTAACTAACTAAGACTATTATTACAATCGCTTCGGCTATATACATACTTTGGGTTATATTACTTACATTATAATTTGTTTATATGATCATATAATCATTTGACTCTTATATTACTTATAAATTACTTCATATTTCATGCATACTACTTCAATTATATAATTGATCATTACTTAATCTCTTAATTCCCGATCGATCATGTGTATCACATGCACAAGTCGTTGATTAATCAATTGCTTATTCTCTTATATTCATATTTGTTTATCACATACTGCATTTCACTATAACAACAGCAATTGACATTTCATTTTATCTGATCTAACAACTTTATTGAAGTACAATAGCTAAAATAATGACATAAATTAATCATTGCAAATTTTGCTGTGTTGGTAGACTATCTTAATAAATTATTATTTTTTTGAATAGTTACTTGTAAATTATTTAATAGCAATAGTACTTGTCATATCATATATTATATATATATTCAAACTGTCAAAAAGCTGTGGTTAAATTATTATTACAATATTCTTGTAATTATTCATATTATTGTCAAAGTTGTAATTGTTACAATACTTTTAATTGTTAAATTGAAATATTTTTTATTGTATATTCGTGATTGATTTATAAATTAATATCATCATATATTTGCAATCAATCTATAAATTAATAATTAATGCATGAAAATTAAACATTGTGAATCAAAAAACAGAAGCTACTAGAATTATGTTATAACATTTACAGTCATATATATGATAATATAATACTATAATTCTTTTTTTTTTTTTTTTTTTTTGGTATTAAGGTGACCTCTTTGGTCAGGGAAACTTTTTATTAGAGTATAGATGAAGTTTTATATGTAATTACAACGATGGTACATCAAGCCACACGTGCACCT